ATATCCAAATCAAGTCTAGGACTGTAATAATACTCTACTTTAGTCAAAATGTTCACCCCCACCTCATACCCCAATCTCCTCCACACAATACAGACAACCTCGTAATTCCCATATTCATAATAAGCCTTGCTTGGGTTTTGTAGTTTTATTGTATCTCTTTATATTCTTAAATTCTATTATTTTTTAAAATTTTAGTTATTTTAGCATTTTAAACGTTATTATACTATATATAATCTTTGAATGATATAACTTTTTTCCTTTTTACAATTTTATTCTGGATTCAGGGGTATATGTACAAGTCTGTTACATGGATATATTGTGTGATGCTCAGGTTTGAGGTACAAATTATCCCGTCACCCGGGATGTGAACATAGTACCCAATAGGTACTTTTTGTACATAATTTGCTATTATATGTTCAAGATTCAATCATGATGAAAGTCTCTGAAGTTCATTCATTTTAACCACTATATAAGATTTCCTTCTACTGATATACTAACATTTATTCATCAACTTTTCCACTAATAGATTGATCAGCCATTTTCAGGCTTTATTTGTATGAATAGTAGTGCTATGGACATTTTGTTTATGTAGAAATTTTCTTGGGTATATGACTGTAAGTGCTGAATTATATATCAATGTTTGGATTTCAGAGATAATGCCCAATTAGATATTGATATTATCAGCCATTTTTAGTTTTTACCAACTACATATAAGTGATACATCATCACTTTATCCCAATCTGCATTTTGTCAAGTACAGCTGCTGTTAATTATATCTTCACAAGTTTATTTCCCATAAGCATTTCATTTTCTATGAAGTATCACCTCATTTCTGTTGCCCACATTTTTCTATTGGGTAATTTGGGCTTCTCTTATTATAGAAAAATTTTATATATACTTGATATATACAAAGTTATTTATATATACTTAATAATTTGTCAATTGTGTTTTCTTTAAATATATTCGACAATTTTTAACTTCTCTTTTTACCTTCCTTAAGGTACATTTGAATGAACTAACTTTCTCAAGTTTAATATAGTCAAATTTATCAATATTTTTTGTAATTTTTTATTTTTTAAGAATTTTTTTATTCCAATGTCTTATAGCTGTCTAAATATTTTTCTGCAAAAGTTTTAGTTTTGTTTTTGACATTTTAAGTCCTAAGCCCAAATGTTTCAACATGAGTTAGGCATCCAATTTTATCTCTTTCCACATGGATTACCATTTTATTCTCAGTTCCACTTATTGAACAGCCTCTCTTTTCCCATTGATCCGCAGTGCCTCTCTTGTCATATATTGAAGGTTTGAAACATATGTGGTTTGACATCCGGGGGCTAATTCTTTTCCTTCAGACAACTTGTCTCCCCCTGTGCTTCTCTGTTCCAATTACATAGCCTTAATTACTCTACACTTTAAGAGCTGTTACTTGTGAAATCCCCACTCTGTATTTTTCTCCTTTATAAGTAACCTGGGTTTACTGGAATCTTTATGATTTCTTTAAAATTTTAGGTTTTTTTGTTTTTGTTTTTTGCTTTTTACTAGTTATTTCCTACTCTAAGCTTGTAAACCTCAATTTTAATGTTACAGCTCTTCTGAAGGTTCTTTTTTTTTTTTCTTTTTTGAGATGGAGTCTCACTATATTGCCCATCCTGGACTCAAACTCCTGAACTCAAGCAATCCTTAACCTCAGCTTTCTGAGTACCTGGAATTACAGGTACAAACTACCATGCCTGGCTTGAGAAGTTTTATCTAAAACTCTAGATCCGAGTTCGTCTTCTTCTTCCTGATGCTAATATCAATTTTGTTTTGTAATCATTTCTAACTTATTTTACATTTTTAGTTTAATATATATTCAGTCATTCATTACATAATTAAAGACTTGAACATAAAACCCAAAACTGTAATAATCCTGGAAGACAACTTGATTAACACCATTCAGGACATGAGCACACACTAAGATTTCATAATGAAGATACCAAAAGCAATTGCAACAAGCAAAAACTGACAAATTGGACCTAATTAAACTAAAAACCTCTGCACAGCAAAAGAAACTAACAATGGAGTAAACAGACAACCTACAGAATGGGAGAAAATTTTTGCAATCTATGCATCTGACAAAAGTCTAATACCCAGCATCTATAAGGAACTTAACCAAATTTACAAGATAAAAACCATTAAAAAGTGGGCAAAGGACATGAACAGACACTTCTCAAAAGAAGGCATACATGCAGCCAATAATCATAAGAAAAAAAGCTTAACATCACTGATCATTATATTTTAAAATATTATAGGGCCACCATTATATATGCAAGCAGTTGTTGACAAAAAAATCATTATATGGCACATGACTACACACAGACACAGACACACACACACACATGAGTCACATAAATACATATAGAAAAAGAAAAATGCTTAGTATATATTTGACTTTAAGCTCCATGGCAGGTGGGAGCCTTGTTCCTTTATGTCCCAAACATCAGGGACCTCAGTTATAACCCCAGGATTTGCATACAGTAACAACTTACTAAGTAATTAATTGATGAGTGAATTAATGAATGAAAATATCTCAAAAATTAATAGTATATGCTAACATTGGGTCCTTAGGAATTTTTTTTTTTAATTTAGACATATAAAGGATCTTAGAAGCTGCCTACTCCAAAACCTTTGCTTTTATAATGGAGATGCACAAGTTCAGAAGAATCTTTTTTTAACTTAAAAAAAGCCTGTTTTTAGCAGACTTCAAACATCAAAATTTCAGTTAGGTACACTTTGCACAGCATCATCTGCTTACAAATAAAATATTTTGAATACATGGTGCAAATTCTGAAAGTAAAATTCTGAAGTAATAAGTCACAACTGAAAATGAAATTAAAACCCTCAAGTCTATTTTCCATTTATTCAAGACAAATAATATCAATGTAAAACTAAACTAGTACAATGGACTGAATGCTTATGTCTCAGCAAAATTCATATACTGAAATCTTAACTTCAGAGTGATGATATTAGGAGTTGGGGCCTTTGTAGGGGGTGATTTCGTCATGAAGACGGAACCCTCAGGAATAGAATTAGTGCCCTTATAAAGTATGCCCCAGAGAGGTTCCTCAACTATTCTGCCATGTGAGGTTAACAGGAAGACAGGCCCTTATCAGACATTGTATCTGTTAGCACCTTGATCTTGGAATCCCCAGTCCCCAAAATTGTAAGAAATAAATTTCTGTTCTTTGTTAGCCACCAAGTCTATATTTTTTAACAACACGAAAGAACTAAAATAACAAGTCTTGTAAGCAAGGAGAACAATAGTTTAGTTTTACAATTTAAGTAAAAAGAAAAGTTATTACTTTTGCCTTCCATTGTTAAATTTCACATTTTGAGATTTAAGACCTAAGGAGCATTAAGGACATAAATCAGCAAAACTATAACTTTTTGTTACATGCAGAAAAGGCTATCAAAGTTTTGCTGAATCGGATTATAACATTTTTTTGTGGCCAACCTAGATGGTTTCCTTCAACAAATGACAGAATGATCATTCCAAACTGATGTAATCCATCAGAAACACTTTTTACTTTCAGCCAAGTATCAACTCAACTGATTCTGACAAAGAAGCTGAGAAGGCTGATGAATTCTGGGGTTTTAATGAAAGATCAGTAAATCATTCCCCATGTTCATTGTTAAAAACTGGTGGACTCATAATGTTCCCCTCTCAGAATAATTGTAGTATCAAGGCATTAAAAACAAACAAACAACAACAAAAAGAATGCAAGCCACTTAAGCGGGTCTAGAATCAGTCACTTCCAAAGTATTTTTGAAAATTATTTGTATTAGTCAAAAACTAAAATGAAAGATTTATTTTTTCTAAAAAGAAAGCTATTCAGAATTTCTCCAATTGAACAAGAGTATTTTTGCAATCTAAAGCAAACTCAACATATCTAAAGTACTCTTTGAACAAAAATTGAATTTTGGAAATGCTCTTCTGTTTTCCTAAACTTCATATAATCTGATAGTGTTAATGAAATTCTGCTTATTATTTTGTTTAATAATCTCAAAAGTATCTATAACATTAAAAGCAGATCACATTCATTAAATAAATGAAAATCTCACCTTGATAATTTAGATTCACTTTTTCAAAAAGTACAAACATTTCATCAAACTTCGATTGAAGTTTGCCTGTTGTCAGATTTATGAAGAAAACTTATGCCAAAGAATATGTTAGTTCAATGAGAATAAAACTAATTTTGAGTACTCTTACACTTTAAAAGTATTTTAGAAATATATTTATAGATCTTGAAGTCAACAAAAATGAAAGCATACAGAAAACTGGAATAGCTTCGCAGAAAACAAATCTCTATGCCTTTACTTGATAAATAACCATTCATACACATTATTATGTTTATATTCATATTTAGTCTTTGAAACTGGTCCCTCAAGAGGAAAATACTGAATTAAAGTAATTTTGTAGTAGACTTGAAATTATCTTTTCACTTAACATACAGCCAGCAATCTGGTGAATCTGAATACCACCATGTGTTTTGTTTTAAAAATTGGTTGTTTTATTTCAACTGTTTTGGAAGTCTTCAGTGGTATCATTCATGCACAGTTCGTTTGCTACCATCGCCACCTGTCTCACTTCAGCATTTTTTCTGTTTTATGTTATGTGCTTGGTCTTTAAAGGCTTTTGGCTTCTCGGAGCCTAGATTTAAAATTCTGCCCAGTTTGAATGTTCACTAAACTGTGCTTTTCATATAGTCATAGAACACTGGACTTTATTAGGTTGAATGGTATCTTAGAGGTTAGCAAACTCTTCTCATTTCTTCCAAGAAGGCACCAAAGACCAAGAAAGGTAAAGTAACTTCTCCATGGTTAAATGTGTATTAATAGTGCTGCTATATATTCTTCTAACTCACTAAGGCAAAACTCTTCTGATTCTGAAGTTTCTTATTTTGTCAAGTCACCACTCTTCTCATCTCTATAAAAACAATATTTGCTTCATGAGCACTTACCCCTCAATGCAGGCAGCAGAGATCGCTCCTTCTTCTCATCACATTTGTTACATTCACTGAAGTACAGCAGTAAGAAGACATCAACAAGAACCCACATCAGTGAAGTGGCTAGAACCACCTTGCAGTAAACAAATCTCCTCATGTCTTTCCTTGATTTTTAGTTAACACACAGATTGAAGACAAATGCTACTGTGATAAATCCAGGCCACACAGGTGAACTCCAAGAATAAAGCAGGATGCATTCCACTGCATTAAAAAAGAGAAGAAAATTTCATTAATTGTACACATTTGCATAAAGAACATATAATATGAAATGTATGACTTAATGGATGTTTTCAAATACATCAGCACTTAAGCCTTCAAATCCAAAATTAAAAGCCTAAATAAATGAAAGTTGAAAGCAAGCTAGTTGACTAACATTTCAATACCTAATACTAGATCTGCCACTTTTCTACTAGGCCCTTGACAAACTATTTGATTTCTTCAAGTGGTATTGTAATTACCTTAAAGTCTTATCATGATATTCTTTATGGCATCAGGCTGTCAAATAGTGCAATTCTGACTTTAGTCTAATTCAGTATTTCTGACTGGCCAATAACACTGAAATGGAAATCATCTGGGATACAATATATTATAGTGAGTAAGATCTGGCCTTTATAGACAGACACATCTGGGTCTACACATTTCCTAGGAATGGAAGACTTTCTAAGCCATAGTTTCCTCATATGTGTAATGAGGACAGAAGTGCCAAACCTAAATCTCATTTGTTATGAGGATTATATAAGATGATACTTATAAAGCATCTTGCAGAACAGATAATTATTAAAATATAAAACAGAGCTGAGCATGGTGGCTCACGCCTGTAATCCCAGTACTTTGGGAGGCCAAGGCAGGTGGATCACATGAGGTCAGTAATTCGAGATCAGCCTGGCCAACATGGTGAAACCTCTCCCTACTAAAATTACAAAAATTAGCCAGGCATGGTGGCACATGCTGCAATCCCAGCTACACATGAGGCTGAGGCAGGAGAATCACTTGAAACTGGGAGGTGAAGGTTGCAGTCAGCCAAGATCACACCATTGCATTCTAGCCTGGGTGACAAGAGTGACACTCTGTCTCAAAAAAAATAAATAAATAAAAATAAAATAAATAAATATATATAAAAGAAAAAATTGTCCTTCAATTCTCAAGTAGAGTAATTACAATACACAAATCAAATATTACTTAGCCTCCAAAATCCCACCTGATCTGCATAGAAAATATCCACAATAGATGTGTATTTAAAATAGATAGCAAGCATCCAAATAATTTATCAGAGGAGTAAATCATATTAATATAAATGATTTATAATTATTGGAGCAAGAATTCTAAAGGGTATAGATATGTACATAATTATTAAGAGATATTCAAAGTACAGAATTAATACATTATACATATTTGTTTTATTTATACTACTACATTTGTTTAACTGGTTAATCAATTTATATGTATAAAGTAACTAAATCAGATGAAACATAATCTGATACCATTTGTTACATTTCAAATAACATCAAGTAAAATATAAACTTATTGATGACAATTAGATAAGTGACAAAGTTTTGACAGAGCTATCTGGGGTGAACAGAATTAAGTACAAAGACACTTGAAATACTTCATAAACGTTTGTCTCAAAAGAATAACATCAAAGTATAATTTGCTGAGCACAAGCTCTTTAAATTAACAGAAGCTGACAGCACAAAAAAGCAAAAGAAATTCTGTTGCCTGTTATAACCAACCTAAACTAGCAAAAAATTCAAAATTCACATGAAATGTCAGTTAAAAAATAATTGTAACAGATTTTGTTTTAGTAACAAAGTTACATTTACATTTACTCAATATATATATTAAAAATTGAGCGATATATGTAAATCTAAACACAGATTCCATGACATTTGGGTTTTTTTTTTCTTAGAAAAAAGTGACATGTTATTATATACTTTGTTTCATTTCAACTTTAATTCTCTATAAAAATGATAGCTAAATATTGGAAATCAGCCTGTAAACTGATAATAAGAGATTAATTCTCCCATATTTATTTCCTGTTACTGTGTCCACGCTTTTCTAAATTTGAGATATGAAACAATTTAAGCTATCAAATTTTCTGTTTTAGAACCAAAGATAGGGTATTTTCAGTTTATTGTAGAAAACAATCCCATAGAGAAGTACATATAACACTGATGGTCACTACCTGGCTATCCCTAAGTTTAGAAGGAGTACCTTATACATAAATGATCCTGGAAGATGTAGACAGCACCATCCCTGGCTCTTTCATCAAACAAAGGGATGACTTTAGGTAGATATCTTGCTACTCAGTGTTTTATTTGCTTATATTTCTTGCCCCATCCATCTCACAAAATATTGTGAGGCTTAAGCAGGATAAAGAATTTTAAAAATTGTTTAAGAAAAATGAAGAATATTATAATAGAAAATCTGAAATCACTTAGTATTAATTAAACATTAAAATGTCTAAGATAAGTCATTTTCTAATAAGAGCCTAACAGCTGAGGTTATTGAGAATTTAATTTAAACTTTAGTTATAATAAACAGTCAAAATTACATATTATTGCCACTCAAGCAATATTCAAATTATCCTAATTTCATAGCCTGCTAGTGCTTCATATTAAGACATTAGCATGGAAAAAAGTCTAACTATAATATTTCATGTGATAAACTAAGTTGCTGTTTCAACTTCTTATCTAATTATGAAACAGATTCTCCTTATATTTTTCAGGTTTTTAAATTTTACCTATATCTTGAAAACACCTATATCTTGAAAACAGGCTAAACTTTATCCTTCACAGAAATCTAATCCCCTGGTACTTATAAAATAATAATCTCATATATTGTATTTCAACATTCCTCTTCAGAGAAGAAAACTGAGCAGAAAAATGGTACTTTAAACACAGAATAGGAATCAACATAAGCACAGTTGGTGGCCCAGGTTTATTTAAGAGAATCAGCATCTGTATTAAGTTTCTATTCCAGGAAACCCCTATTTATTTGTAAATAGTGTTCTGTTTCTCAAACAGTCAGAAAATCCAAGTTCTGCAATATCCCCTGGCTTGCCAAGCCAATGTGGGGCATGACCAACTTGCATAAACTACAGCCTTTTCTATCTAATACTATTACCCTTTTCCTAATTTTTTTGAAAACATTAAGTAATGATATCAGCAAGACTGTCTATATTATAGGGTTTTTCCTTGAAAATACGTACCATATTTCCTATCTTTATTAGAAATTGTTTTAAATATAAGAAATAAAATCTAGATAAAGTTTAAGGTTTTCCTAACTATGTTGGTAAATTAAGAAGAAAAAATGTTTGGTTTTTGCTTTGATTTTTTATTTGTTGTTGTTTTTTAATTAGAAGGTTATTACTTAGGGAATTTACTAGCTATTTGACATATTTTTAATCTGTATTCATAAACATTCTTTTGTAGAAAATTGTGTAATTTGAGCAAGTTTTTTCAGTCTATTTATGAGGCTAAACTTGAGGTTGCCAGTGGATCCTGAAAATGAGTGTTTAAGGCTGCTGGTAGTGCTTCCAGAAGTTTCAGGCTCTCAGCATACTTTAAATGTTTTAAATAGCTATGCAGGAGCTTCTGTGAGCTAATGACCAAATAATTCTGTAGTTTGGTTTATGTGCTGATAAATGTAGCAAGCACTGAAAAAAATACCACAAATTAGCTTCAGATCTAACTAATAAGAAAACAGATATTTGCATGAATAAAGATAAAAAATTGGCCAGGTATGGTGGCTCACACCTATAATCTCAGTACTTTGGGAAGCTGAGGGCAGTGGATCATCTGATGTCAGGAGTTCAGGACCAGCCTGGCCAATATGGCGAAACACCATCTCTACTAAAAATACAAAAATTAGCTGGGTGTGGTGGCAGACATAATCCCAACTACTGGAGAGGCTGACACAGGAAAATCACTTGAATCTGGAGGGTGGGGGCTGCAGTGAGCTGAGATCATGCCCTTGCACTGCAGCCTGGGTGAAAGAGTGAGACCCTGTCTCAAAGAAAAAAAAAGATAAAAATTAACTTAAACCCAAGATATCCACTCACAGCCTAATCCAGTGTTTGCTGTAATAACCACGTAACACTAAAAGATAAACTAAGAGACAAGCCAACAAATATAATGCTAAATAAATGCCTTTTACTAAAAGGTGGTAGAAGAGAAGCAATAAACAAAACTAAAACAAACAAAAAATGCCCTCACTTGCATATAAACTAAGGGAAAAGAGAATATTGATAACACAAAATTCAACTCTTAGGAGAACTAACATAGGCTATAAAAGAAAACATTTCAGAGTTACACTGTCATGATTTGAGTCCAGGTTCCAACACTCATTAATTATGTACCTTGATTCAAGTTCCTTAAATGTTTAATGCCTTGGTTTTCCTATTCATAAAATGTGAATGGTGGTAGCTACCTTGTAAGGCTAGGATGAGCACAGGGATGTAACACGTAACCTCTTATAACAGTGCCTGGACTGTTATAAGAACTCAATATACATTCATTAGTAGTAGTAGTAGTAACACATATTGTTATCATCAAAACATCATTCAAAGAGCCAGAAAAAATAATGAGGATTCTCCTTGCCCACCCTTGCAGAAGCATTGCATGCTCAGTGTGTAGGTGTTCAGGAGATTGGAGAACAAGAGCACCACAGGACGAACTATTTTAGATGCAGTTTCTAATGTGGTATGAGTTATACAAGGTTTTACAATAGTGAAAACTCATTGTGCACTTAAATTTGGTGCATTTCACTCTCTGTAAATTGTACCTCCCTTTTAAAGGAAAAATAGGATAAAATGACTATGTAAGTATCACATAATTCCCTAATATCATCAACTTTTGATTAATTAAATAAATTAAAGTCACAAGTTCACCAGATAAAAGAGCTTCTACTTAATGCCTTTCTGATCTCATTTCCTACTGTTGACACCAGTCACCTAGGTATCCTGGCTGTTCCTTAAATATGCGAATTAGTAGCTTGCCTCAGGACATGTACACTTATGCTTTCTCTGCCCAGTAATATGTTCATGGCTCCCTGCATTTGTTTCCTTCAGATCTTCCTTCCTGCTCAAATGTCACGTCACAAAGAACCTTCTTTTCAGCCTTTACAAAACAGCACACACACCTTAGTCATTCTCTATCATCTCGCCCCACTTAATTTTCCTTCTTAGCAATTATCATCCCCAG